AGCATTCTTTCATAACTTTAATTCGTTAGTTATTTATTATTTATATTTATTTGTTTTACATTATTCCCCAAACTTATTATCATATACCGAATTTGGATATGATATATAGGTTAATCTATATCTGGCTAAGAGTAAGCATACTTTTGTAACTTTAATTTGTTAGTTATTTATTTAAATTACATAATATTTAAAAAAAAAAATAATAAATTTGATTAAATTTTTTCTCTATCAAGAATATAAAATAAATTATCTATTTTAAAAAATCCTACACATCGATCTATACCAATAACCTCAATAAATTGAAAACCATTAAATTTATTAAAATATATTTGTCCATAATCATCTTCATTGTATTTATTTACTTTTCTAATATAAGCAAATATACGACTTATTTTATTATATTCATTAGTAATAAAATATTTTATTTCACCAAATATTTCTTTTATTACAAGTCTTTGAGATGCATTTACTTGATGAGCATTAAGATCTATTGTAATATTAATCAAATATAAAAATAAACTAGCGATCGCTACCCGGGCGACGCCCCGGGGGCTCGAAGGCGCCACGGGAACAAAGCGTTTCAATCTCAAAAAAAAAAAATTTTTTTATTTTTTCACGCAACCGAAAAAATCGAAGACCCGATCACCCGGTAATCGGTTTGAAAACTCGCACGAATTGGACCCGGTACCCGGTGAACGATCTGAAAATTCTCCCGCACCCGGTGCGCATTAGAGATTCCGATTTAACCGGGTCATCTGGAGCCACGCACCCGGTGCGCATTAGAAATTCGAATTAAACCGGGTCATATGGAGCCACGCACCCGGTGATGATTTAGAAAATCCACCCGGCCGGGTCATTTGACGCCACGCACCCGGTGCGCATTACAAATTCATGCATTTTACCCGGTGGCCGGTGACGATTTTGAAATTTGTTTCTAAATATAACGCGAGTCACACAGGCGTCCGAATACGTGCTCAATATTACCAAAAAAGGAAATTCTCGGCTATCGCAAAATGGCAAGGATCACCCAAAATGGTGACACAAAAATCCATATATGGTAATTCGTGTGACACAAAACTCCATAAAAGGTGATTTGTGTAACGTGACACACGCCTCACCACGGGAGGGGTCGTATCGTCTGTTTTATAGTGACTAAGAATCGCGTAATATATATAGGTAGGATAGGATGAAATCAGAATCACGTGAAATTTTCTGTTTTTTTATTCTCAAATATGATTTCAGGTCAAAAACAATGTTTAAATTTAGCATTAACTCTTATTTTTCCCAGACAGTTCCCCAAAGGTCCATATTACCAATTTCAAGCAATAATCGATATTAATTTGAGCAGCTTTTTAATTTTTCGCTTGCATCGGACTTAACCTCTTTTTGTGATTATTGGAGACGCATTTATCCTTCATTCACGTGATTTATTACGCGTCGAAATAGAAAATCGAAGATCGAATATTAAATGTTGCACAACTCAATTTCTCATCCAATCAAATGACAATATATAAACGCGTAAATAAATCAATCAGCATTGGCATAATTAAATTCGAAATTAGCTTTACTAGCTTTATATATTTTTGATAAATAAATGATAATACACTTAATACATATGACTTTCTCAAGTCAAAGAAATAATGGAAATTAACGAAGAAAAGTAGGTTAAATTATTTATTTATTTTAGGATTTCAAATAAAAAATTGTTATTAACGGGGGTTTTTTTTTCTTTTTAATTTTATTACAGTAACGGAAAAGATAAACTAATAGATACAATTATATACATAAATCAACAATTGGATTTTTACGGATATCCGTCACCTTTAAATTTTCTCGATAGTAAAGATGATAATTCTGTTAATAAGAATGTTGAATGTGTACTTTCATTATTACAAGATCGTCAAAGGGCTTTTGGAATTCAAGAAGAATTAAGTGATACAAATCGAAGGTTACAAAGTGATTATGATTTGACTTGTCTAAATAATGTAAGAATCGTATAAATTACCGATAACGCGTAGTATTTCAAATTATTTACCGAAAATTATTCAACATCATTTAGAAAGGATTAAAAAACAAAATTGAGATTAATGAGCGTGAAATCGATTTATTGAAATCAAAAATACTGTGAGGGTTTTGGAAAAGTTGTGATTTATTTTCAATAAATAGTTTAAATTTCAAAACAATGATTGTAATTTTAATAGGAAGGTAGAAAATGAATTGAAATGTGAGTTAGAGAAACATAGGTTGACCAAAGATGAACTAACAAAGACGAAATTAAATTTGCAATATACCAAGACACAAGCTGTGGTAAGTTGAATTTTATTGTACGAGTTACTATTATTATTTTATTTTTATTTTATTTTATTTTCATTTTTTTATTTTTTATTTTTTATTTTTTTTTGAGTTTTATAATATAATTTTTTTTTGAATACTATTTAATAGCATGAGGTCAAAAAACGGGAATTGGAGTATACCAGATTTAAAGAAAAGATGCAAAAGTTGCTTAATGATAGTTATAGGAAGGCAAAGATAGGATTACAAATCGTAAATCCTATTTCGAAACCTTTAAAAAGGCTTCCTAACTCATATAATGATCATATATTATCAAGAAAGCACAATACTTCCGTAATTCATGAAGAAGAAGAAGAAGAAATTCCTGCAAGTATTTTAATTTTATTCAAAAATTTACTTGATAATTCACTAAGAATTTTATGTCACTTGTTTTAGGATGCCGATATGTTCAAACAAATCGTTGCTGACGCAGAGGCCCGTGAAAAAGAATTATTGCAAGAAAATTCCAAATTGAGAAAATTACTTTTTGATGTTCAACATCACGTCAGCACATTTGTAGAGTCGCATGCACAGTTAGGCGATGAATATGAAACTTCGATAGATCCAGAGTTGGCCAATTTGCAAGTATGGTTGATTGTAAATAAGTTGCGAATGATCTCTTATTTATATTCAAAATCAATTATTTGTTAATTTAATTATAAAGACACCAGATTCATATAATCCAAAAGCTGCTAGATTCCAACTCCCTTTCGAAATGTTTGCGAACAATGTTGAAGAAGAAATCAAGGAATTACTTTTGGCACTACAATGTGAATGGGAAAATCGTCCGGCTAACATGGTAGCAGAATATGAAACAAAGGTAGAAGAATATGAAATCAAGGTAGAAGAAAATCGCCAAATACGGTTAGAAATTGACTCTCTAAGAAATCAACTTGGTAAAGTATGATAAATGAATATATCCTTTTTAAGATTATGAAATATTAACAATTTGATTTGTTTTAATAATCTAAGCCGAGGCTGCTACATTTGTGGAGGAAGCTCAAAACATGATTAATAATTTCATTGAGAGTGGTTTTCAAGATGGTCAAGGAGAATTCAAGCTAAACGTTTCCGGGTATGTTAATCTTGAGAATAAAATTGGTATAAGAATGAATATTAATAAATAGTTTTCAATAGGAACGAAATTACTTTACCTGAGTATGACGAGCTTGATGAAAATTTACAATTGAAACGTAATCAGCTTAATCAGGAAAGGAAAACATTTACCGAATCGCTTATCCGATTGGGCAAAGATAGGGAACAAATATTGGTACATATTTATATTCATTTTTTCTTCCCTAATATAGTTCTTTCATCTATTAACATATGCACGTTTTTGCAATTTAACAGAAAGAAAGAATTGAATTTGAGCAAGAAAAAAGAGCGTGGAAAACCTTACATCCAACACCGTATGATGCTATTTGTGTTTTTTTTTTTTTTGCTTATTTAAAATTGTAATTAGAATGAATGATTAATTAATTAATTTTTATTTTTATAATTTAAAGTGGATCAAGAAGGATAAGAAGAGGCAGCGTTTACTTTAATAGGACATTAATGGCTGAAGAAACTCCAACACCATCTCCTCATAAATATCTGATGACAGAATGCAGTCCACTGACACCTTTCTTGGAAAGGTATAAGGCCGATATCGAATTAATCAATAAAGAGAATAATCCCATGTAATAAACTTATAATCGAATACAACTAAATAGCTTAAAGAAAAAACATTTTTTCTTTTTTTGTTTACATTGTGTACACTAGTTTCCCAAATAAATTAATTCTTTTTGAACACTTGTGATTAACATCATTTAGAATAAAAATCTATGGTCCTGGTATTCAAACCCAGATACTTTTTTTATGTCAATGAGTTGTATTTTCAGAAGCGCGTTATTGTCCATTACTCGTTCCTTCACTTTCAGAATGTTGAATTCACTTACTTTTTCTGATTTTGACATTCTTCTATGACCTTGGTTCGATGCATAAATTTATGCGTAATTAAATTAAAATTAAATTTGAAAATTTTCATTTTCTAATATAATATTTTTTTCGATCATTACTATTATTGGTTATTTATGAAAGAATTTATTTTAATTCTTGAATCAAAACTTTACATTTTGCTGACACGAAAAGACAGGAGTTTGGGAATTGTATCACAACGTGAAGCGAAAACTTAAAGGTTAGCAAATTTTAAAATGCTAGGAATTTTAACTATCACGTGATAAGTACTTTACGAAAGGAAAATTCAATTTTCCGTTACTCACTTTTATCACTTTTAGATCAAGTATTTTTGACAGTTAGGGATGATAGTTACTTGGATGGGATTAACCACACACACTTGTCAATTTTTGTGGGAACGCGTAATAAATTTAAATTTAAATTTAATATGGCAAAATTCATATGATTTATTTTCAAAGCTTAAATAATTTCAATTTTTATGTTTTAACTTTCATAATTCTTGGAAGTTGAATTGTGCCTATTTTTGATTGGCCAAAAGTCAACAGAGTTATTAGGAATGCAGCCGAAATACCAAAATTAAAGAAATGAGTTTTAAATAATGCATTTCTATAGCAAATAATCTCTATTTATGAAAAATAAATTCGATATCAAATAACGTTACAATTTCAATTTATTATTAATACACCATAAAAATATAATAAAGATCATTAGATTTAAATTTGCTCATCCAACTTTTTATTCCAAATTTCAATTAATTTTTTAAAACTTTCAGCCTTATTTTCATCTAAATTTGATTCGGTGTACCTTTTATATAATATATCCGACATATCAATACAAGATTTTAATCTAATTTTTCGTGATTCAATACTATATTCATTAAATTTATCATCATGTTTTAATAATTCACTTTTTTCCCAATCAGAAGGAATCGGAGGTAATTCCAAAGCTTCATTATTCATTCTATCTAATTTTTCTAATAATTCCGAAGCGGTTATATCAACTCTCTCCCAACTTTCCAACTTTAAAGAAGCTGATATTAAAATGGTATAAAGATGAACATCATATTGAGGAATATCATAATAAGTCATCAATCCAAAAGTTTTATAAAGATTATCTAATATCTCTTGTTTATTTAAAGAGAGACTCATTTCATCCATTGACGGATCAACGATTTTATTAGCAAAAGCTAACATGATCCGTCTAAATCCTTCTTGACTAGGTAATAAAGCATATTGTGCTCTATCCGTTAACATTTGAAAGACGACATCTTCGGAATTAACTTCACAACATTTTTTAATGATCAAACGAGTTGTTATCGGTGTTGAAGGTAATAATTTTTTACGCCATTGAGCAACCGCTTTTGGTAATAATAAAGCATCCTCACGCGTTTGAATATGATAGATTAAATTATTTAATCGACCATGCCTTGGAAGTCCGTGTAAAGGAGTTGTCTTTTGAGTTTTTTGAATTGCTTCTTGATAAAGTTTATAAAATTCTGGTGATACGTCTGGTGTAATTTTTGAGGTTCGCTCTGTTAAAGGTCCTTGTAGTATCGCCGTAGGGAAAAGTTCGTCCTCTTCTAAATTCAGTGTATCTTGTTCCTCTTCGATCTTTTCTTCCTTTTCAATTTTTTTAATGATTTTTTTTTGAACTGAATTCAAAAGTAAACAAATAAATTAAATGATCGAAACAATTATGAACTTCCATTGAAATGAATTGACTCACCTAAGCATACTCTATTATTATGAAATCCTCGACTTTGAACCACATATATGCGTACTGGAATAATTAAATTATATCTTTACTCACTATAAAGGAAGTGTCAATGGGAAAATATCGAAAAAATAAAAATAAATTTTAAAAGAGTATCCACCTCTACTTAATATTTCTCTTGAAAAATTGCGAGTTGAATAATTATACGGGTGAATTTGAGTGGTACTAAAAGGTGTAAAAGATTTAAATGAATGTCGAAGTAAAGGTTTTATCGAAAATAATTTACGGGTTATATACATTTTTTATAAATTAAGAAGGAATAAAGTAAAACACGCTTTAGATTTTTGGGAGTTCGTTAGAAATATGGAAAAAAATTTTTTTCTGATTGTACGACGTCAGCCACCCATCTACATGCCAAATGATAAAAAAAATTTTTTTAAAACTGATGCATTTTCTTCACCGTTTTCACCCTGACAAAAAAAAGTTCTCTTATATTTAAAATGGCTCAAAGGGTACAAAGGCCACTTAAAGCTTTCTTTATAACGAATTTTAAACCAACACTTGAAGAAGCTCGAAAGGTTTATTCATTTTTTGCATCAAAAGGAGAATTAATCGAATTCAAATTTGCCAGGGTATATTATCAAATCTTTATTTACTAGTTATACAATTTTTATTAAATCTAATTCTTTTCCCTTTTTTTTCAATAGGATCCTGAAATAAAAAAAATTAAAAATTTTGGTTGGATGAGTTATAAAGATAATAAAATTACAGAGGAATTATTTGAGAATTGGTTTAAAATTGAACCATATAACACGGAAGTGATTGTACAACGGGCGGATAAAGAAGGTTGTGAATAAATGAATTTGATCTCATAAAACAAATCAAATTTATTAATCCTAAATTTTTTATTGATAATAATGGAAAAAAGCTAAAAAAAGTATCACCAAACCACCAAGGGCCTCGAGGTTTAGCTTTTTTGAAGGTTTCCACCTCAAAGATGATGCTCCATCATCATCTCCGGTACTTGATCAAATTAACTATAAATTCACTTCAACAAGTGACAATAACGATAAATCACAATTACATTCGTCAGATACGGGACAGGAAAATGGAAATATTATTATAGAAGAAAGTATTGAAGCTATAGAAGATCGGAGTGATTCTTCTTCAACATCAACAGCAAAATTTACAGAGACAGTAACAACAACTATAGAAACAAACGCCTATAGTGTTGTTAATAATGAAAGTAATGCTGATGCTGCTCAGAATCCAAGTGATAATGTGTGAAAGGAAAGTACGTCCGACTATTCATTGAAGTAGATCTTTATAACCATTAAAATTAGATAAATTATAAAGGTATCTCATTTATTTAAATAAATAATTTATACCTCAATTTTTTCGTACAATAATCTCCTAAAAATACAAAAAGTCTTTGTTATCTTAATTTTTTTCCTTCAAAAGTATACGTTTTTTCACTAAGTTCTAATACTATTCTTAAATCTTCGCTTTTACTTCTATACTCTTTACAAATTTTCTTTAAACTTCCAAGACACAAATTTCTTTTTTCTTTCAAATTTTCAACTAGATCTCTAGGTAAACTTCCTTTTCCACTATACAAGGCCGCAAGTAATCTAAATGATGATATAAGTTCCTTGAATGCGTCATAGTGACTGAAATTAAAGAAATCGTGTTACTATTTATTCGTAGTTGTTATAAGAGTGAATTTTCTTTTTTTATAAAAAAAAAAAATACGACAATAAACTTACCTATCAACAAGTGCAATATGATACCAAGCGAAAATGAATACAGCACTGGCAGCCAGAATAAATCCCAAAGGAGTAAAAAACATCGTCACCCAAATAAAGAAGAACAATACCGAATAAGCTATCAGTAACCATGCGAATCCCAATGCGATTTTATTTTGTGCTCTTGACTCCTCATATATTTCATATTTCGCTGATATTTTACCCAACAGATATATCGGCCAATGAAAACATAATCCTGGTAAGAAAAATGGCAATTGAACCGTAAATTTTAACAATTCACATAAGAACGTGTATGATGCCCATGGAATTGTAAGGCTACGATTTTCATAGCGTGCTATATCAGTGTTGGATAAATGAAGTTCGTCCAATGAGGTCTTATATTGAATTAAATTGTTTGTTAAAGATAATATTTCGTCGGAAATTGTCTGTGTGAAAAAATTTATCAAACTAAAAAAAAAAAAAAAAAAAAAAAATGTCAAAACAAACTAGTTAAAATTCAAATGCTTGAAATTATAATTACCTTTGTGTTATCTTTACGTAATCTTCAAGTGGTACGTGCTTGTCATCTGAAAATATAAGTTGCCTAGCGATTGTTGCCGCGTTGGAAGTTTCCCTATTTATTACACTTGAATGGTTAATAGAATTGAAGAACTAGGAGAATTAAGTAAAATCAACTTACCAATCTTGGGCATTTATCGTTAATTTTTCTGTTTCGGTCTCGATATGTTTAGTCAATCGTTTGACAGTAGCTCGCTTATCTACTTCAAAATCCTCGAGATATGGTTCTGTATGTATTGGTGAACCATATCTTATTGACGAAATAATGATGTGAGATAAATTGAAACATTAACAAAAAGGATTCACACAAATCTACTTACGCGGCTATGACCGCACTCCTATATTTTGATTTTTGAACATATGTAAGTCCAACGGGAATGATTATGGCCTTAGCAGGAACTTTCGATTTCTTTTTATCGACACCTTCACGGTCACCATCTGATTTCTCGAGATCAGACACGAAAGAAGCATATTCCAAGGCAGCCCAAGAAGCACCATCCTTAAATTCTAGCAGCCGTGATTGGGAATGCGATGTTCCTATGAAATATCCCCAGGTAAATAAACCAGGTCTTGCACCTTTTACAGTATACACTTCTTACCTTCAGGAAACAAGGCAACAATTTCACCGAGTTTCAAGACCTCGAAAGTTGCGGCAAATAATGCTTTATTATTCTTTGTTTTCCTATCGACGGGAACAACTCCACCACTAGTTAGAATTAAATTAAGGATCTTGTTTGCAAATAATGAATTTTTTGCCCAGAAATGTAATTTTCGTTTATGAGGAAATGTATTGGCTAACACTGCTGGGTCAACGATCATATTACTTTAATTATAGATTCATGTTAGAAATTGCATTTCTTATTTTGATACAAATTTCAAAAACTTACAAATGCGTAGAACAAACAATAATTGGACCTTCTTTTGGTACATTATCATAACCAATCGTTATAATATCTCTGTAGAACCCATGAATACACCAGCGGGATAAAGTGCAAGATATATCATAAGTTATTCCGAATGGCATATTGTAAAGTGGAACTTCTAAAAGATGGTATGTTTTATATAAATTCTCCGCAATTTATCGTTGGAATGAAATTAAACAAACTATAATTTTATTATTATGCCATGTTTAATCTAACGCGAGTGGTTTGCATGTGATTTTTGCATACGATCATTTGATTAAATTTCAATTCACATGATGAGCTTAATTTAGTGGGTCAAATTGCCCCAACCAAAATATTTTCGAAGAAAGGGGAAAATAAAAAAATGAGTAAAATGCCTGAAAAACATATTTAAGTTTGGCTCATATGATTTCAAACTTTGGGTTAATACATTTAACTATCACGTGATGAATACTAACCTATGGAAAATCACGGTTACAAGTATGTCAAATATTCTGTAACCGGGTAAACCCATTCTTCACGTGTGTGATGCAAATATGTCAAAACTTTTTTTACTTTACTTCTGTTTCGTTAGAACTAAATATACCACAGTATTTAAATATGGATAATTTTCTTCCAGGACAAATTTTCACAACTTCTGCCAGTTTGGTAGATAGTGTTGATCGTAAGTTCAAATTTATTTCCATTAATTCTTTTTTCATGAACGGTTTGGTTCATATTAACCTTTTTACATTTGATTAAAGGTAAGTTACTAGTGGTTCTTCGTGATGGCCGCAAACTTATTGGAGTATTAAGGTCTTTTGATCAATTTGGTAGGGTTAATAAATTTGAAAATGACACGTTCTTATATTTACTCTGCCCTTATGATTTACGTATTAATCGAATTTATAATAAAAGCAAATCTAGTTTTACAAGATACGATAGAGCGTATATATGTTGGTGACGCGTATGGAGATATTCCTCGAGGAATTTTTATAATTAGAGGTGAAAACGTGGTTCTGTTAGGGGAAATTGTAAGATTTCCGTATCCTAGATTTTAGATATCACTTTATTAAAAGGTTGTATGTGAAATTAATGAATATTATATTTTTAATAAGGATCTTGACAAGGAAGATGAATTACCACTTCGTCAAGTACCAGTTGAGGAAATCTTATTGGCACAGCGAGAGGAAATGGAAGCAAGGCAAAAACGCGAAAAACTTAAAAACAAACTATTACATGATCAAGGGTTTAGTGTGGACTTTACTGAAACTGATTTATATTAATTTAAACTTCCGCTATTATATATACTGTACACTAGTAATTTGAACTGGTATCGATCATAATTAACTTGAATAATTTTTAATAGGAAATTATGAATTATCTACTCGTCTTTTGTAACCTAAACACATATAATATCCCTCTGTTGACTTTTTATGCACAGCCTCTGGTTTTTCGTGACGAATTCTGTTAAACTTGGTCTTTAAAAGGTTTCTAAATTCTTGCTCAGATTCTCCCATCAAGAACTTTTGTAAGAAAAACGAATTAATTTTTGGTTATACAAGCTAAAGAGATTTATTCAATTTTGAAAAAGATTCTACCTTGCATAAAAAGGTGCCTCCAATTTTTAATACTTGCTCAGCAAAATTTAGACCAGATTCGCACAATTCCTGAAGCAATAATAAATAATAATCATAATATTAATTTAATATTAAAATTGGTTCAAGTCAAGCGTTATTTACCATTGATTTGACATGATCTATGAAATGTTGTCCAGAAAAATTCGGTGCCATATCGCTTACAACTACGTCTACTTCTCTCCCTTTCAATAGCTCTTTTATCTTTTGTTGTATGTTTATATCGGTGAAGTCTCCTTGTATAACATTCACTCCAGGAATCGGCTCAATTGGTAACAAATCGACAGCAATAATTAAACTGTCATTTAATTTTTTGTCAACAACTTCTGTTTGTTCAATGGTTAAATCTAATTCTGGATAAATTTTTCGAGAAATAACTTGACTCCAACTACCGGGAGCTGCTCCGCAGTCGATAAAAATTGAACCTGGATTAATGAAATTATACTTTTGGTCCAATTCCAATAATTTGAACGCACTTCGGGCTCCTTTTTTTTTTATATTGAATAAAGTGTTATATTCTAGATTCTGAATTTTTTCATGGCGTTATGAAATGTGAAAAAGTATAATCATTTACGATAATTTTGTGATAATGCTTTCTTGACAAATTGATCCCGAACTTGTCGTGCTATCCACCTTTTTGAAGATGGTGAGGATGCATATCGAACTTGGTTGAATGAAGACTTTTGCCAAGAATTAAGCGGAAGTTTCAATCCAAGCAACATTATTAATGGCTATTGCTAGAAATTTCTTGATTATTTAAGGATCAACGAATCCATTAACACCACGACAAGTTTAGTAATTCATTTGATTACGTCATCATTGATTTTTGCTATATAAATGTAAACAAACAGACTTTGGTGGGTTCAGTCCAATCATACCGATTTATAAACAATGTCAACCTTTTTCGAGTCAAATTTTGGAAGTCGTAATTCTTCGACTTTTGAAGCTTTTAAGAATGTGAGTGATCTCACCAAGCCCATACAACAACATTTGATCAAAGTTTACGCGACACTTGCAACAGCCTGTTTGATAGCTGCCGTTGGATCATATGCGCACATTTCGGGTCTCTTCTTATTTGGGGTATGTTTTATTTAATATTTTAAATTTTTCTTTCACGTATTAATAACAAAATTCTTTTTAATAAAAAATTTTAGGGCGGTCTTCTTTCATTTTTAATAGGTTTTGCTTCGTTGATAGGAATTATGGCTTTTCCTGATATACCTGATAACAAGAATTTACGTTATGGCCTTTTATTTGTAAGGATCTTTTTATTTAAATTTATATTCAACGTAAAAAGGAAAATTTAATAATGTTCTTTTTTCTACATAGAATTTCGCCTTCATGGAAGGATTATCAATTGGTCCATTGGTTGATTACGCACTTCAGATTGATTATTCGTAAAGTATCATAAAACTTTAGTTTTCTTGAATTTTTAATTTTTTGAATTTCCAAATTAAACATATCTTTTGAATTTTTATTATTTTTATTATTTTTATTATTATTTTTAGCGGTCAAATTTTATTTATTGCAACTACCTTTACAACTTTAATCTTTGGTTCTTTTTCCTTGAGTTCTTTGTTAAGCAATAAGAGGATTTTTATCTATCTTGGGGGTTTATTGTCTTCCATGATCAGCTTATTATCTTTGATGTCATTTATTAACATATTTCTCGGATCAAAATTATTATTTTCTGCGGAGCTTTATCTTGGATTATTCTTGTTTTGTGGTTATGGTAAGTTAATTAGTCAAAATAGAAAAGTTTTAAAACCGTTTCTGGCCACCATTTGTTAATTCACTTATTATTCCTTTAATAGTTATCTATGACACCCAGCTTATTATTTATCAAGCAACATATCTTTCCTCTCGTGATGTTGTCCAACATTCCCTTAAACTTTTCATCGATATTGTCGGTATTTTTGTCAGGATCTTGTATATTTTGATTAAAAATTCCGAAGACAATGAAAATAGAAGACGTAATAATAACAAACGAAACAACAGAAAAGCACAATATGCTGGATATTAATTATCTTAATAAATTAATCTTTTAATTTTTTTTTTTCAATAAAATCTGATTAAAAGTTAATGAGGATTATGAGACGGGTATTTCACGATATATTATCGCTTATAACATAATTATTATTTTTTATATTATTGGTCTTATTCTTTAGTTGATATTAATAAAATAAATTATTTTAGATTTATTAATTTGTAATAAATTCAATTTCGAATAATTAGCAATAAAAAATTTAGTAGGAAAAAAGATAATTTTAATATTATATTACAAAATAAGGTTGCTAAAAATTTTTTGATTACATATCGAATCTGATTTCTAATATGAATTTTTTAAAATTAGCAATAGCTAAAATTGATTTATTTCAGTACTCAGCATAATTAATTTAGTGGATAACATCCATTATTAATTTTTGCACTGTTTTTTTTTTTAAAAAAAAATTTTTTAATATACAATTTATAATTCATTAGAATATCCTATAACTTTTGTGAGTTCTGCATAGAAGTCGTTATTAATATAAAGTTTCAATTCCATTAAATTCATAAATTCTTTACAAGAAAAAAAGAAAAACCTACGTTCGAATTTGATGTTTTCTCTTATTACAGTAGGTTTGGCTTCATTATCATAATTTGTGGGAATAGTAACAACGTTATCTTTTATTATAAGTTCCCGTGATTGAATAAAAGATTCAAATTCATCATCATCTATTTGAAATTTATTAAAAATTTAAAAAACGTTAAAAGAAAAAGCAAATCTAAAAAAAAAAAGGTTTCAAATTGTAAAACAAACCATTTGTAAAATTAAGATATGATCGTAATAAATCTGCCGAAATACTATGATAAGTCATACAAATAGCTGTCAATATAACTATAATTTTATAAAAAATAGTGAATTTTTGTTAATAATAAACTCATTTTAATGTTACGCTTGAAAATATCAAAAAGATATTAACCTTTACGAATCGCATTCTCAAAACCAATAGCTTCACTTGCGATTTCTCTGTAAGCCTCATCTTTTTCAAAAGTATCCCAAAATTCTTGATATCTGGCTTGTTCCAATAATTGTTGCAACGTAATTAATTTTAATACATTTTCATCGTTAAGCTATATTAATTGATGGAAAAATATATATTAAAGATAATCGAACTAATTTCCCAAGAGATTAATTATTATTATTTTTTAAAAAAATCAATTCATATTAAAAAAAAACAAGGATACAGCCCCTTCTTGTAATAAATATAAACATAAATTGAAATCTGGATTCGGTATAGCTGTAAGGGCTTTAACGAGAATATTGTTGATGACTATTTCGTTGACAAGATGTGGATTAAATTGATATCTAATGAAATAAATGAATTATCAACAAATTAATTATGTAAAGAATTCAAATTATTTTTGCTGATTTAAATTTAAGGTAAACATTATTTTAAAATCATTGAGGGCAAGTAATCTTTCAATACCAAAGCTACGAAATAAAATTTAACATAACTTAGGTTCAATTATAACTATATTTAATCATCTTTAAAAATGTGACCTTTCAATACATATTATTTAAACAAATTTTGCAAATTTGAATTATAACCCTTCAAATACTTACAACTTTAATATCGCTAAATTAGCCATCAAATCATATTCTTCATTTTGAAGCTGTACTGCTAAATATTCTTCAAGGATTGATACATTATCAGGATTATACCTATCAACACCGTCAATTAATGATTGTATAATTTCAGGTCGTGAAGGAGGAATTAATGGTGAAGGGAAAAGAAGCGAATCGTTATTCATCTTTTATTTTTTTTTTTCCCTTCGTATTCTCTGATCTGATATTTATTGGTTAGCTCACATGAAAGTCACGTGTTATTATTCGAGATCGGTTAACATCTAAAATTAATTTTTAGAAATTTTAAAAAATGGATAAAATCGAAGTGCAGTTGCAGTTAAAAATTGCAGAAGAAAAATACGAAAAGGCAGAATTGGCTTTGAAGGAATTCGAAGAAGGGGAGGATGACGGAAAGTGGTTGAAAGATTTAAGGAGAAAGATGAGAAGTGAAAAGCTTAGTGAAAATGAGATGCAGGAGAGGGCTAGACTGGAAATAAAAGAAAAAGAGTTGACGATGAAGTTGAACAATTGGGAAGAGTATGAGCTGTATTTACGCAAGGAATTGGCATATTTTAATAAAGAAAGAGGTAATTAACAAATTGCATATTTTCTATTCATTCCGTTTCGTTATTTTATTTAATTGTTTAAGTAATAATTTGGTATACTGTTTGCAATATTAACTGACAAACTTGTTTATTCATCACTATCTATCGATAAGTAACTCTCTTGGGTACTGATGATGTGTTGAATATAACTTTCAAACCCTATATTGCAATATTTTCAATATTTAAATAATATCATATAATTGAGGATTTGCTATTCATCATTGATTGTATTTTACTTCCTATCATAATAAGAATCAGCGATCATTACTGGAAAAAGAATGGCTGAAGATGAAGAAGTCCGCAAAAAAGTCGTTTTGCTCGATAACAAGATTCTAATGCTTGAGAATAACATTAAGAAAATGAAATTTACCATCACAACTGCAGGAGATGTCGGAAAATTAATAATTAATATTGCAGAAATTAATCAACAATTTCTTTACGACTTTTTAAATTCTAACTCTAAAATACGATTTGATGATTTGATTATACCCAATGAATTTCATCAACCATGTGAAAGGAAAACTGAGGTTCAGAAGAGGTTTATGAATTTTTTTGAACAATTTCAAAATAAACCTTGGTTTATTAAGGATACATCGACCAAGGACTACTTTAAAGATCCAATTGCTAAGATTGATGTTGCAATTCTCGACGGCAGCCATTCCTTGTGGCCACACATTGTTACATGTTTAGAACTTCAGGTTTCGGACATGTGTGACGTATTGCAGCCACAGTCCAAAAGAGCTTTGGTCGCATGTTCTGGGGTGTTTCTCCTGAATTGGCTTGGGTCCTTTGGTCCCCTTAGAAAGTCACATTACTGGAGTTATGCACCGTGATGTTTTGGCTAATTATGCCATTCTCACAGTCAAGTCTCACGCAAAAAGGGTTGTTTTTTCAAGAAGACACGTGCCTGTGCATACCGCAAGAGTCGCACGTTTGTTCCTCTCATCCTCAAATGTTGAAGTGCTTTCCTGGCCGGCCCAAAGCCCTGATATCAACCCAATAGAAAATATATGATCATATATTGAGGTTAAAATCCGTAAACGAGATTCCCAGCCATCAAGTGTTAGGCAGTTGGAATAGTAGGTTAAAGAGGAGTGGGATGCGGTACCTGTAGAATATTATCATAATTTGATCAAGTTAATAACGCGTCGGGTTTAAGCTGTTCTTGTGGCAAATGAAGGTCCAACTAAATATTAACCTGTAATTTAATAATATAAAAAAAAATTTAATATGTTAGTTATGTCATAATAAATTTTTAAAAAATGGCCAATACTTTTTATATCCCCCTGTATGTTTGATAATCACCCCTATTAGTTCATCATTTAGGCAAATCTTGTGGTAATAATCCTATAAACCCTGCAGTCAATGATGTCCATTTCCTATGTCCCAAGCATTTGCTGTCCCAGCTAAATGTCCCAACTATATGTCCCAACTATGTTCCATATATGTCCCAAATGTCCTATCTGTCCCATCAATGTCCCATCAGTGTCCCATCAATGTCCTAAATATGTCCCATGACAACACTGCCTGCAGTATTAGTTGAGGTAAGAGTATACCCTAGCAAGGTATATGGTATAATAGATCCCTCAGTCCATAGTGATATGTAGGAACGTTTCCAGTAAAATCAAGTCATGAGGCATAGGAAATCATATGATCCGTAATGTGATTTTACTGGAAACGCTCCCATGTAATCCTGGATAGCTGGTAACCAACAGGAGGGGGTCAAAACCTTCCTAATAGGATCAAACTAGCAACAGCACCATTACGGGCAACAGCAATATTTGGGCCAGTTTACAATGATATGGGTTGCCAATGACTATAAGATCAGTGGAGACCTAAAGGAGGGCTAGCTATAGGATGATTCATAAGAGTTGTCAGGCTGTATAACCCCTTCCAGGCACTACGTACTGAAATCAAAAAAAAAAAAAAGATAAAAATAAATTAATTTATAAAACTATGAAATATTGCTTATTTATAATTTATTAATACATATTAATATAATATAACATTTTAAATTAATTAGTTGAGAAATTTTTTTATTTTTGCTTTATAACTATAGACACAATTTCTTTGGCTGCAATTTATTTTGATAAATTTAATGCTAATATTAGTGGGCATAATTAATTACGGCCAAACGATCAAATATCACAGAAGCAAATAAATAATAATTAAATATCTCAAAACTAAAAAATTAATTATTGCAAAATGAATGTTTTGAAGCTTCAACTTTAATTTTTTTTATACATATCTAACTTGGTTGATGTTATTAATTACAAAAGCATATAGAAAGACAAATTTCAAAAGAAAGTTATATTGTAATCAAGCGGTTAAAGTGTTTTCAAATAGTCTTCAAAGACGTTAATGACCTTATCAATATCTAACTTTCTGATACGCCAGTCAAATTGAGACAATATAAATGATTCTGGAAAGATAAATTTACGAAGTATATCTAAAAAGGTACGAAATTCTTGACGTGCATATTTAAGTTGATGGTCGGGCTTAACAATTGAACTGAGCTTGAAGTCTACAATATCTTGAAGATTATTCGATTTTTTCCAAACTATTACGCCATCACAAGCTATATATACAAGCGTAAAGTAAAGAGCTTCAAGATCATCCTCAATAGTATATGATATGCTGTTATGTTGTGCCAGCTGTTCTGTAACCTAAAAAGCATGATAATATAAGCGATACACATACAAATTTTCATAATTATAAAGATAATATAGTACCTTTATGGAAGAAAAAAGCAAGGTTGCAGTCAAAGTTGTATTTGTAATATCAGAAATATTTGACGCAACGCCCCAGTCAATAAGATATCCATTATTTTGGAACAAGATTATATTTCCAAAGGAGATGTCACGGTGCAAAATTTTCAAGTCATAAGCGAATTTAATAGCTTTGGTAATATCTCGAAAAGCCATAAGAATCGTTTTTAATCCATGTTTTTCAACTTCAAGATGTTCACCAAAAGGTCGGATTACCATAAATCTATACAAATAAAAAGCTATGAAAAAAATATATCATTAATTGCTTCAATAAAAAAACTCTAAATTTGACATACTTTTCTCCATTTGTTAAAGTTCCGTATAGGTTTCCGACAATCTTAGGTATAAACTCACAACCAAAAAGCTTTTGAAGCATTTTAATCTCATGATCAGAACTTGAGGCCTTTAAAATGACTGGTTCGCTATTTACTTCTCCAGCAAGAACAAATGATATTCGTTGATTGGATGTATCGGACGTCCGTCGAAGAATGGAATGGTATGTGAAACCTTGGACGGTTTTTACCATATCCTTATAAGTACCAGGATGTTGATAGTCCAACACATGATTTGACGCAGTTACCAAATTCACTAACATATGAAGTCCTACGTCTTCTTTAAGAGACAATTTGCCTGATCGAATAATATCTCCATTCCTTTTTCGCATCATAATCTCCACAATTGATACTCCGCAAACGGCCCCAATAACGTATTTCCTATCTGGTTGTTGATCAAAAATCTCTGTAAATCTCTCATTAAGTTGTCCAAGAACCTCATGATATGTATAATCTCTCGATAAGTCAATCTTAAGTTCTAAACATGTAACAATGTGTGACCACAAGGAATGGCTGCCGTCGAGAACTGCAACATTAATCTTAGCAATTGGACCTTTAAAGTAGTCCTTGGTCGATGTATCCTTAATAAACCAAGGTTTATTTTGAAATTGTTCAAAAAAATTCATAAATCTCTTCTGAACCTCAGTTTCCCTTTCACATGGTTGATGAAATTCATTGGGTATAATCAAATCATCAAACCGTATTTTAGAGTTAGAATTTAAAAGGTCGTAAAGAAATTGTTGATTAATTTCTGCAATATTAATCATTAATATTCCGATATCTCCTGCAGTTGTGATGGTAAATTTCATTTTCTTAACGTTATTCTCAAGCATTAGAATCTTGTTATCGAGTAAAACGACTTTTTTGCGGACTTCTTCATCTTCAGCCATTCTTTTTCCAGTAATGATCGCTGATTCTTATGATAGGAAGTAAAATACAAATCAATGGTGTGGAAGGAAAGCAAATGCGAGAAAAGACGTTAATGAACAAATAAAAAAGTTGTAACAAATAATAGTTGTGGTATAAAATAAATTAAATTTAATGACAAGTTAGTCAATAGATAGTGATGAATAAACAAGTTTGTCAGTTAATATTGCAAACAGTATACCAAATTATTACTTAAACAATTAAATAAATAAACGAAATGTAATGAATGGAAAATAATATTTTGTATATTTTTTATGCAATTTGTTCATTACCTTCTTCTTTATTTAATTCCTTGTATAAACACCGCCCCCAATCGTCGTTCCTCTTCTTCAACTCTTTTTCTTCTATTTCCAGTCTAGCCTTCTCCTGCATCTCATTTTCATTAAGCTTTTCACTTCTCATCTTTCTCTTTAACTCTTTCAACCACTTTCCGTCAGCCTCCCCCTCTTCGAATTTCTTCAAAGCCAATTCTGCCCTTTCGTAGCTTTCTTTTACAAGCTGGAGCCGTGCTTCGTTTTTTTCCATTTTGTAAAAATTTAAAAATTAATTTTAGATAAGAGCTGCAATAAATGTCCGAGAACTTGTCTAAAGTTCCTCAAGCATCATAAAAATGTAGGGGATGACCCGGATCCCAATAAGTTAGAAGCTGATATTACCTAAAATCACAAGACTTTGCCGATTTCAAACATGTTCTTAAGGATGAGTTCGAAATGTTAAGAAATGTCAGACTGCAAAAATCGTATTCTTCACTTTTGATGATCATACCTTTTACCGGGCAAATATAACGGCTCATTGATCGCTACTCTCTCTCAAAAGGTCATGACAGATATTAGCTGATATGCTATTTATTATAGAGAAGGTTAGTATTCTTAATTTAACTAATTAAAAATTACTTACCTCTTTCCTTTTGTAGGTGCCGGATTCCTTGGATTGATTGGATCTGAGACGAGTCCTATGAAGGGAAGGTCAGTATATATATATTTTTAATTAATTAATTTAACTAATAAATAATCTTTACTTACCTCTTTCCTATTTATAGTGCTGGATTCCTTGGATCAATCGGATCAGAAGAGAGTCCGGTAAATTATTAAATTAAGTGAATCACTATATAACTTACCTTTTCCTTTTTGTAGGTTTTAGATCCTTAGACATTTAAGGTAATCATCAATTCGTTTTTTAAAATTTTAAATTTTTTTTATTTAATTTATTAACTTAAAAATAAAATTAATCCCTTCCCTACATTCTGCTATTCTAAAAGAAAAAAAAGGGTAAGTTTTTTTTTGATAATTAACTTAAAAAATAAAATTATTCCCTTCCTTTCACTATAAACTTATCTTTGATGTATAAGATCTCTTTCAGCTTGGGCTATGAAAGTTATGTTAGGAGGAGGATTTTTCATTTTTTTTGTCATTTAAACGTCATTAACATTCCTTTTGCTACTTTTTTTAGGGATGCCTTCCCGGACTTGAATTTCGGCTTAGATTATGAAAGGTATGTTGTCTAGAGATTGTATTGAATCAGTATTTTGGAGGTTCAGAGATTCGTTGATACAAAACCAAACATTATTAATGAAAAGAAAATTACTTTGGATTTTTTTATTTTTTTGCTTTAAAAACATTGTTAACATTTCTTTTTCTTTTTTTTTTAAAAAAAAAGATTCTGGATCCTTGGAATGAAATGATAATTTGAAAGAATTATTTTTTTTTTTTTTGCTTTAGAACATTACTAATGTTTATTTTTCTTTTATTAAGATTAAACTCATGAATTTGTTTTATTTGTTTATTTTTTTTGCTTTTTTGATGTTACTAAAATTTTTCTCTCTTTTTTTTGAAGAAAATGATTCTTAAATCCTTTAGAATGAAATGGTAATTTGAAAGAATAATTTTATTTATTTATTTATTTCTTTACTTTATTTGAATTTAAAATTAGTATAACAAATTTATTTTTTAATAAAACTTCTTTATTTTATTTGATCTTTTATCTTCTTTTAATTTAAATTTTATAATTTGATAATTCAAAAATTTATGTTTTATTAATTATAATAGATTTGAAGCATGGTTTATCAAAATAAGTTATTACAATCCTTTTAAGTAAAAAAAAATGAATATAATTTGTTATCAATTCTTTTAAATTAAAAAATCAAGTTTAAGAGGTGAGAATAAGTGTGTTTAATTTCTAAGTTATAGGAGTATACTTTAGAAAATATATGTTATTTTTTTTTAAAACTTCTATATGACTTTGGGATTGTATATTTTCCTCTCACATATTTAATATATGCTAACTTAGCTTTTATTTGAATTAAATTATAATTTTAATATTTTCTTTTAATTTATCTTACTTTAATTTTATATTCTTTTCTTATTTTATTATTTTCTATTTTATTAAATATGTATTATCTTAGCAAGATAAAGCTTTAATTTTGTATTGTTTCCTTATAAATATATTATTTTAACAATATAAAATTTAATTTTATATTGTTTTTTATTTTATTATATATGTATTATTTTAATAAAATAAAGTTTTGATTTTATATGATTTCTTTATAGATTGTCTTTTCATTCTATTACAGATGTATTGTTTTAGCAAGATAAATCATTTTTTTTATAAATAGATAAATAGATTATTATTTTTTTTTATATAAATTTTTTAAATTTTTTTACAATCTTTTTTTGTATAATTTCGTAAATAATATAAATCACATATTTTTCTTTTTATTAAATTATTAACAAAAATGACAATCAAAGTAATTGGAAATAAAATTATCCTATTTAATTTATCTTTTACTAAAGCAAGACAATTACCTAATCATTTATTTTTTTATCAAAACCTTTATTATCTGAAAAAATAAAAGTATTATCATTATGTAATAATGGTAATTTAAATAATCCTTTTACTTCATCTTTCTCATCTTTCACTTTTAAAAATACTACAAATTTTGCTGTTTTGATTAATCAAATAAATAATAAGAAAGATAAAAAATATGTTAAAAAATATAATCAAAAATTAAAACATTAGATTCTGATTATATAATCCTTTAAATATCGATAATAAATAAGCAAATTATATAATAAAATTAAAAATCATAAGAAAAAATAAGTAATTATCCTATACAAAATTATTATAAGATCAACAATATTAAAAACAATTTATTTATCAATTAATTGATAATAAATTATTTGTATTATATATAGTTATAAAAAATTTTTTTAATAATAATGCATTTCACAAAATAGAATTGTTTCATAAAATTCCTTATGATTTGATTTAACTTATTTAGTTAATAATAATAATTTTCAAAATATAATATTAAATTTAAAAATAAATTTCTGAAATTCACAAACTATTTATAGTGGTTATACAACAATACAAGCTCATTTTAACATTTTAATTATTTATTACCATTATAAGATGAAAAATATTATCATGTTACTAAAGTTATAGAAAAATATATGTAAGTATATTCCATTAATTTTACAGATATTAATATAAATAATATATTTAATTATTTTAAGACAAATAAGAAATTTTTATAGATATAGATCTTGGAAAAACATATTTTTCAAAAATATTAGGATTAAATAATATATATGATTTTATCTTTATTTAGAAAATTATTTATTTCCATTAATTATAAGCTTAAAATCTTTAATTGCAAATCTAATTAAGATTAATTTTTCTGAATTATATGATATTTTCAATATTAATTTACCAGGTATTTAAACAAAGCTTTAATTTTTTAATAAATTTTAGCATATCAGATAAAGCTGATCAATTAAATATATTATGATAAGGTATTACTGATCTACATAAAGATAATATAGATTGTATGTATGCATTTTATATAATAGTAGTTTTTGGAAGTTTTGATATTAAGTAAAATTGGAATTACAATCAAAATTAAAGGTGGATATATAGTTTTATTAAGATTAGCTTTATTAGAACATTTTAATTTATTAATTATTAGAAATAGATTTGCTATAGTTAAAGATGGTTCCCATAATTATTTTTAAGATTTTTAACTAGTTGCAACTATTTATGAATTTTTATATTAAAATAAATTTACAAGGAGTTGCAACTTACTGAGTTGCAACTTCTTAATTATAGTACCTATCTTTAGCTATAGTATATTATTTAAGAAAATATTTTTATAATGAAGTTTAATAATTATTTAATATGTAAATACTTTATTAAAAATTACTATCACGATAATTTTTACAATTATATAATTAATATAAATCACATAATTTTTATTTATAAAATATAACATATTTACTTGATTTTATTGTTTATAAATAATAACATTAACACAAATAAAAAAATCTGTATAACAATATAAACTTAAATTAAAGATCTGCATAAATAATTGCTTTTTCCATTTTTGTTTTTTATATATACAGTATATACTTAAATATCAAATAACATTTATAATGTCATCATTATCAAAAATAATTACAAATTTACAAAATTAAATTTAAACTTTATCAACAAACATTAGAACAATTAAAAAAAATTCTAATTTTTTAGCTTCAACTCTAACAGATTCAACTTTAACTTCAAATCAAATTCCAGTTCCAACTTCAAATACAACTTCAGTTTTAACTCCAACTTTAACTTTAACTCTAACTTCATTTTAAAATATCTTTAAACCAAAAAATAATATATCAAAAGTATTAATATTTTGAATTTATTTAAATTTATAAAAGCAGAATATAATAATATTTTGGTAAATATAAACAAGATTATATTAAAATTTTATTTTTACTTATTTAAAATTTTTTATTTTTAGTCTGAAATTTATTTTTATATGATATATTTGTAAATAGAATTTGCAATTTCTTATAAAAATCAAGATATTTTAAAAAAAATAAAATTATTGAAAAAGTAAAATTGTTATTTTATATCTTTTTTTATTTTAAATTAATTAGAATACTAATATATTTACATGTAGTTTAAAAAATAAAAT